GGCTAGAAGAAGTGGGGCCGTCTCTTGAACACTCAACCAATTTGGCCCAAAGGCCCTCACGTCCTTCCAGTTGATGTACTAGAGCCTGTTTAGAATGTTTTAAATGCACACTTAAATAGATTCCAATAAATCAGTAGAATTTAACTCTAAACAAACAAAAAAATTTATTACAAAATTAGAAAAGTAATTAGAATCCTCCTAGAAAAGAGTAAGAGAAGTATATGGAGATTTTATTGTTTTCAAAGGATAATAATAGTTATAAATAATGATGAATGATATCAATCATAAATCATATCAGACTTCAAACCAGAAGGAATGATACATTTTTAGGCTATATGCAAATCAAAATTTCAAATGATAAAAGGAATAGCTGTTTTTATTAAGCCGTAGAGAGTAAGTGAATTGGATCGCTCAAAATAATAAAGGCACCAATAAAGTGATACCTAAAATATAGCATCTGGCTTGCTATGAAAAACATTGAACGACCAAATTCTCATAACAGAACATCTGAAAATGTGTGGATAAATGTGCAATTTATATTTATCTCTCTTTATCTCTCTCTCTCTCTCTGTCTCTCTCTTTATATATATATATATATACATACATTAGCACTCACTTGATTGTGAATATGAGAAACTGTCTCCCTGAGAGTTAGAGGCTTACAATTAAAGGATTCCTTAGACTTGTAGTATCGATAGTCGAAATTGTAGCCATGGCTTAGAAAAAAATAGGAAAGATAAGTTTCAGAGGTTCTATATGATCACGTATACATACATAAATATGTATATATATATATATATCCGATTTAGAATATTTCTTCTAAGGTATGTATACGTGATCATATAGAACCTCCAATACATATCTTTCTTAATTTTTCCCAACCCATGGCCACAATTTCGACTATTCATACCGCAAGTCTAAGGAAGCCGATAAGTTAAAGGTTTGAACCCTCAGGGAGACAGTTTCACATATACACAACCAACTGAGTGCTATTAATGTGAAGAAAACCTATAGATAATTATCATAAGTACTTCTTAAATAAGAACTTAACCATTTAAGGTTTTAAGATTATTTAAAGAGTAATAATAGAGTTTTCCCACAATTAATTAATTAGATCACTTTTAAGTAAAACCACAATCCAGTCTAAATGAGAAAACGTTTTGGTAAGTAAGGGTAAGTAAAATGCAATGGCATCACGAGGCCAACTCATTTAGGTGCGAGAAAGCTCCCATATATAAGCAAGCTAGGGTAGCTAAGCTCCTACTATATTTAGCAGGTTAATTTAAAAAAATTTAAACAGTCCTTTAGAGTTCTTGGGGAATTCCGATTAGTCTATTGTAATTACCTGTTATTTGCTAGGACCTCTGTTGTTATGATTTGTACTTTGCGCTCTAGTTATTTCCATAGCTAAATAATAATTTACTTTACGTTTTTTGCTAGGGTAATTCATCACTTGCATTATTTGCTAATCTTAATTGTTTTGACTGTAGCGTGAAGCAAAGTATGCATAGGTCTTTTGGGGATTACTCAGCCTTCTAGATGAACTATTTTTATGTCTAGTAGGGAGAACTGCTAAATGATATTTTAGAGATAGCAATTCAAAGATTATTATATGTAAATATTTATTCACATTATTACTGCCGGCATTTTAAGAGAGCAATCGTGCAGTCAAAAAAGGTGAGAAAAAGCAAATATTTCCTCACTCGATGTTCAGCAATTAGACCAGCTACAGTGTCCTCATCACCAAACACAGCTTGTACCCGCTGACGTTCCTCAGGGCTTAACTCAGAGGGTACATCAGAAGCTCGCAACCATGCAGCTTGTGTAAAAGCGCGTGGCCTATCTGCGCTAAGGCTTCGTCCTTCTGTATCGCCAAAGGACGTTTGTTGATCCAGTGTATTTTCGTGGTCATTTATTTCTTCTTCTCTCGCTTCATTCTTCCACTCTTGTTCTCTTTCGAATAGTTCGCAGTAAGTACCCTTAACTTCAACACTCCCCTTCTCTGACCCACAATCATCCGGCCCTTCGCACACTTTTTCTACGAGGTTATGGTTCTGTGGTCCCGGATGAATCCCCTTCTTGAGTTTGCGCTCAGGTCTCAAGGAAACCTTGTGGTCAAGCGTTTCCGCTCCAGCTGGCCGGGTAGTAGCCTGATCAGCTGCTGGAGCCCATTGGCGGGTCAAAAGGAGACTAGCACTGCCGTTCTGACTCGGCCTTTTTGTTGCTAAGCGTGAAACCTGACCTTCAGGCGCAGAGCCACCTCTGCGCACCCTGGATTGAGGTTCATTAGACAATGTTCCGGCCTCAGACAAATGCGAAATAGCAGAGAAAGAGGCGGAGGAGGAGACACCGGCCGATAGGGAGCCACAACCGGGGTTCAAAGGGTCGAGAGTAGCAGAGTCAATTAAGTAAGCATTAGAAGGGATGGCTGAAGAATGTCTATTGTCTACGGACAGGGTGTGTCGTCGGCGGCCCGCTCGTCGAAGGGAATATATACCGGAACCACGTTCACTACTATTTGGCGAATGCTGTGAAGTCGATCGCGTAGAACTGATTATCAATGGCAGAGTAGCAGACTTTTGACTGCCCGTGCGTCCAACCAGTGCAGAACTGGCACCGCGAGTCGACTTTCTTTCCTGGACAGAGAAACGAGGCTGATGAGTTTGGCGGAAAAGTGGTTGTTGTTGAGGCCGCTGGCAAAGTCGGGGCTGAGGATGCCCCCGGGAAGACGAATGCTGCCCTCTTGCAAGTTTAGGGATCCGGGATGTGTAATAGGGACTTGGTA